TTATGCAAATGAGAGGAGGAGAGGGAAGGAAAATGAAAGGATGTCGTCATATCCTTTCATTTCCTTTCCCTTCCATTTGTTTCACTTAAATCAAACGTATCATTAAAGATTGTGACAAAATATGACATTGTATCATTTAAATATATTCAATTACAATCACAAGATAAAAATACATAATGTAAATTTTATTTATCATATATTTGAAATTAAATGATATGATATTTTTAATGTCTAAACATCTTTATTTTCACCTTTATGTTAAGTTTAAGCGTTAACTAATTTTACTTTTTTGAATATTTGTAACTTAGAATTATATATACTCTAAATAATTGTATTTTTTTCCATCCTTTAAATAGTTGATTTGAGAAATTATATACTACTACTACATAGGTGCAACAAAATTAGCATGCTTGTGTACACCTTAAAAAATTTTAAAAATAATAATTAATTAAAAATAACTTTAAAGAAAAAAAAGACATTTTTTTTTAAGGGAAGTAGATGATAGGGCGAGAGCAAACTCAACTTGCACTTAGTAGATTATTATTACTGAGTGAATTACGATAATAAGTTTTAGAATTATTTTTTATTATGATAGAGAAATTTAGAGATTTTATATTTTTTTTTATCAATAAGTTACTGAATAGTTATATATAAGAATTACCTATAAAGTCAATAATACATTACATAATAAGAAAGTATAATACCTTTTTTTATATGTTTGCTACTTACTTTTTCATAGTTCAATTTTTTTACGCTAGACATTTTAAAGTTGGAGTCCCTTTCCTTAGTAGTTGATGTATTCTTAAATCAATTTTTCTACATTTCAAAGTTAATTTCTCATCAATCTAATTAAAAATAAATCATTCATGTTAAGATTAGAGTATTAATGAGAAATTATCTCATTGGCCTCCTCCCCAAAGAATTTTAAATTAGAGTTTTAACAACTGAATAATTGAGTCATGTTGGAGTGGTGAGATTATATAGCCACCAATTATTTTGTTATAGTTATTGATTTTGACTATAATTTTATTAATTTATAATTTTTTAAACAATTAATTACGATATTTGAAAATATTAATTTATAAATATATTAGATAATAAATATTATTTATTTTATCAATTATTATATATAATAGTCAAATTAAAATAAAAGAGTTAACTAGGTTCTAACAATATTGATGGTGCTCATAATTATAACCAACTTAGAGGCATTGAGGTCTACTACTATTTTTATTTTTATTTTTATTTTTTGAATTTAATGTCAAGGCATTTTTAAGATAATTTTTATATATTTTGAAATTGATTTCTTTTTATATAATCTTAAAAGTGTATCTTATACTGATGGAATATATTTAATGAAATTAATTTTTTTAAATATTTTTTTTTGAACGGCAATTTTTTTAAATATTAATTTAAAAGTTAACTTATATAAATAAAAATTATTTATTAATAGATCAATGGTATATAATTTTATAATTTAAATTATATTAAATTATAAAATAAAAATAACTAAATGAAAAAATTTAACATTTGATCCTTGTAATCCAATAATTAGTACCATTAAAAAAATACATATCTCACTCCCTTTCCCGGGTTTCGAACCCGCCATGACGAAAGTTCAAAAAAAGAAAAATGAAAAAGTCCACAGCCTGCTACTCATCAAAATGTTAATGTTTTGGTTGGATGGGAGTAATAATCTTTTTGGTTTTCTTTTTTATTGTCTGTACCACAGTAATCATTTAATTTTTGCTTTGAACGAATTATGTCGGAATATGTATGGTGTTGTACGGATGTCATTTAACTCAATGCTCTCAAATTACGCGGATACGCGCACTTAGCTCACGGTTCATCGATCGTAGGTCTGACTTATAAAGTGCATTTCTTAGTTTGAGGGTTGAATTTGGATTTCTCTTTTTCTTAATATTGTAACTTTGTTCAAAAATAATAAAAAAAAATTTACGCGGAGACGCCTCGTGTTTTCCCAACAGAAGCAACTCTTTACTACTTCTCAAACTCGAATTTCATACCTAGTGATTACTTATTTATTTTGGTAGTAGTAGTTCTTATGTTTTCTTGCATTTTTTTAGCTTC